GAGATGGAGTACCATCCAATTCAACAACAAATGTTGTTTTCAAAGAAGTTTTTCAAAATTTGAATTAGTTATGTGATGTATATATAATTTGAAGTTAATTTTATGAGTCGTTTTGCATCTAATTGGATTGGAAAATCAATTAGCATATCACTTTAAGTTTGTACATCGCACCGTGCATCGCACGGGTGAAATACTAGTTGTTAAATCATAGTTTAATAAATAATAAAACAACTAAATACAAACCTTAAAATTACAAATATTTAAAATATAAATCATCAAGCCAAAAATGAATCACAATAATGGAAAGAGATCTGTCTTATTGATGTCTAGTCAAGGATGACTCCACAAATTCATAGATATGAATAAAAAAATAATGCATATTTACGTGAATATGATGAGGCAATAATAATATTGGGCTGCCACATGCTTAGGACGCTTCAAATGGATGTATATATACAATTAAAATGATTCGTGATAATAGATAAATTTAAAATAAAAATTCCATTCAATTTAAATATATGATATTAGAAATTAAATTGAAATGCAAACCAAACTTAAGTGATCACAAAAAAATAAAATAAAATAAAATCATAATGCTCATCAACTTATAAGTTGCTTATTTAATCATTTAGATAAACATTACTAAAAGAATAAAAAAATAAAAACAGAGAGAAAAAAGAACTTTATTTTTTTCTTCTAGAATTTGTTTAATGCAAATTGACTTCTCCAAAACTCCAATGCTCAATATGAATTTATTTATATACATAAGCATTATTTAAGCTATTTTTCGAGTTTTGAGAAGTATTAGTCCACAACAAATTGCTTTCATTGATAACAATTCTTACATTTAGCCCACAACAAATTGTTTTTTATGACAACGGCTTTAGCATGAGAAAAAATGGTTTTTATTACTGTAATGATCTTAATTATGTTTATTACACAGTGTATGTACTAATATAAAGCAGCATTGCATCTTTCCTCTCTTTTTATATTAATTATTAATTATAAAAATAGTCATCTCTTAATCCTTCTCACATGCTCTCCGTTAGGAAATTAAAAAACGTGGTCGCAATAGACTCTCCACATCTTTCTTTACCGTACGTTCTCTTTGTATATTGGAATTTTTAATCCATCGATAAAAATCACGGGCCCCACCCCCCGTGTAAGGGGAGTGTCAAACTTGTTGTACACAAAAGTGTACACTTGGGATAGTGTTTGGTGTGGTGGAGAATCGATCTTTGTTGTAGTATCGCTTGTGTTGTTTGGAGACGCAATTAGAGTAGAGAAAGACGGTAGAGTGAAATCCACGGCGACGACAAGCCCAACATCACCAACTTATTTCAAACGCGTAACCAGCGTAACCTAATCCAAAAGTCAGCCAGAGTTCAACTTAGGTGTGGATCCGAATTTGGGTTCGATAAGATATCCCGACTCATATCCAATGGTCGCGCTGTGAGCGTCTCCATAAAGCGGTGACCACAACGGTGTGCAGTGGCGGTGCGATGACACCAGCTATTACCATGTTTCTATGGGTAGTTTTCTGTAATGGTTGTTAGTAGTTGTTTGTAGGTGGTAATGACAGTGATTGTGCAATTGGTGGTAGAGATGGCGGTTGTGGTGGTGCTAGTGGTGACATAGCCGTTGTGCAGGTTTCTTTGTGTGGTGGTGGTGATTGTGGTTGTTAGCGTTGGCGATGACAGTAACGGCGACGATGGAGTGTGGGACGAACAATGTTTGCGGTCAATTATTTGGTTGTTGTGACCAATAGATTGATTAATTTGTGACAAATAAATAATATGTGACCTAAAAGAATGTGCAGTTGTGATTAAATTTGGAATCGTGACTCAAAATGTGGTAAGTTGTAACCAACTAATTCGACTAAGAAATAATTCATGATAAATTAGTTTGTGTTGTAATTTATGATTGATAAATAAATTACGTTCTATAAAATTCGTGATTTGTAATCGATAAATAAATTGCGACCTATAAAAATTGTAATTTATGACCGATAAATAAATTAAGACCTATAAAATTTTTGATTTATAATCTGTAAAGTTTTTAATTTGTGACCAATTAATAAATCGTGACTTATGTAATTTTTGACTCGTGGCCGTAAAATAATTTGTGACCTATAAAATTTTTTATTTTTGATCGAAAAATAATTTGTAACCAATTAATTCGACAATTTGTGACCAAATAGTATAGAATTGTGACCTTGATATATTTAATTAATAAAATATATATTTAATTAATTATTTCATAAATAAAATTTAATTAATATCCGATTTTTAAAGTTTTAAACCTTGTTTCTTGGATTTGAAATGGTCATACTTAATTGGTTAGATGTGAAAATTTCTCAAATTATAATCTCCACGTGAGATCTGTGCACTGAGATTGAAAGTTTGAGGATGTGAATGCAAGTTAAAATTGAATTGGAACTTAAGTGCCATATTTCTTGAAGTTGAGACTCTGGCTGTAATTTTCCTTCTTCTAGGCGCCAGATTGTCTTCCTCTCTCTCGCACAACAAATTCATCGAAGAACCCACATCTACGCACAAAGCAAAATTGAACCAGAAAGAACAAATACACACATACACACAAAAGTTGGAATAGTAGCAAAGAAATGGCGGAATACGAGGGCAACAGACCCCATAACAGTCGCCCTTCTCTCAAAACTCATCTCTCTTTCAATAATTACCCCAAATGGAAAGACAAGGTTTCTGTTGAGTTTGCTGAACTATTGTGTATGCATATGTGTACAAATTTGGCGAATTTATGATTATCTTTTTGTGTTGGTTTAATGTAGCTTAGAGAAAATTGCCACAAAAGGGTCCGTGAGGATCGAACCCGTTTGCTTTGGAAATTGAGATTGCCCAAACCCAATGACCAGCCTCGCATTCATAAGGTTCATTTCTTTTTGTTTAGTCTAACTGAAAGTGTTGTTATACTAGTTTTTTTTTTTTTTTTTGCCTCAATTTTATTGTAAATTTATGTGGTGTATTTTGGTAGTGCTAATTTATTTGTTTATATTAGTTTTCTTGTTAGAAAAATGATAATTTTTTTCGTAATTTCTAATCCTCGTGTGGCGTGATTGTGTGAAAATCTATCCATGCTAATCTCTGATGAAGCTATTGATAATAGTAGTATGGGTAGAGGGATTGTTTTCTGTTTGTTTTGGTGCTCTGTAACTGTAAGTGACAAGCATCTCGAGAGCTATTGACACTTAGCTCCTGTTTGGTTCAGCTAAAAAAAGCTGATTAAGTTAAAAATTTATTTTTATCTAAACCAAACAAGGGCTTAGTTAATAGATGACAGAAATCAAAAGGCTTATGTTTAGTATTATGCCTACACATTTGTCCTCACTGATGCATAAAAGGGCAGACTGAATAACTAGTGGATGTACAATCATGACAAGATGGAGGATCGACAAATACAAAGGAGAGACGAGGTGTTTTAAGGGAAGAGCTTGTGAGATTGGTGGAGATGGAGGAGATTGCTTGGCGCCAGAAATCTAGGGTCTTGTGGTTGAAAGAGGGGGACAAAAGAGGTGTTTTAAGGGAAGAGCTTGTGAGATTGGTGGAGATGGAGGAGATTGCTTGGCGCCAGAAATCTCGGGTCTTGTGGTTGAAAGAGGGGGACAAATGTACCAAGTTCTTTCACAGGGTGGCCAATTCTAATAGGCGAAACAATTCAATCACAGCGTTGGAAGTCGATGGGGTTACTTATGAGGATCCCCAGGATATTGGGACCCACATGGTGAGATTCTATCAGAATTTGTATCGGGAGGAGTCTGAGTGGAGGCCGGAGTTGTGGGGTTTGGAGTTTTCTACTATTTCGGAGGAGGAGGCCGTTTGGTTGGAGAGACCATTTGGGGAGGATGAAATAAAGGAGGTGGTGTTTAGTATGAATGATGATAAGGCTCCAGGACCAGGCGGGTTCTCCTTCTCATTTTACAAGGCGTGTTGGGAGGTGGTGCGACAAGATATTTTCGATGTTTTTGCGTATTTTTTTGAGCGTGGTAGGTTTCTGAAAAGTTTCAACGCAACATTTATTGTGCTGATCCCGAAAAAACCAGGAGCGACTGATATTAAGGATTTTCGCCCTATCAGCTTAATCAGTGGGATGTACAAGATTATCGCGAAAGTCCTGGCAAATAGACTCAAGGAGGTGCTAGGGAAAGTGGTGTCTAAGTTTCAGAACGCCTTTGTCAAGGGTCGTCAGATTTTGGATTCTGTACTTATTGCAAATGAATGCATTGACTCAAGACTTTGCCTAGGGGTTCCAGGGATGCTTTGCAAACTTGATATCCAAAAGGCTTATGATCACGTGAACTGGGGGTTCCTTCTGTATATGCTTAGGCGTTGCGGTTTTGGGGATAAGTGGTGTAAGTGGATTCGATTCTGTATCTCTACTGTTTCATTCTCAGTCCTAGTCAATGGCACCCCCGAAGGTTTTTTTCGGAGTAGCAGAGGCTTGAGGCAAGGGGATCCATTGTCTCCTTTGTTGTTTGTGATTGTTATGGAGGTCCTCAGTAGGATGCTCGAGAAAGCGAGACGAGAGAATTTGATTAAGGGATTTATGGTTGGTGGAATGCAGGTGACCCACTTGTTATTTGCTGATGACACTCTGATTCTATGTGACGCAGATGAGGAGCAATTCAGGAACTTACGTC